AGAATGAGCAGAGCGTGCCATCTTCTACCAAGTGGACCGGCAATTACAGGCTTCCGCACACAATCGCATGACAGGCGTACTTAACATGCAGCATGGCCACACTGTGTTGTTGTTTCGCTGGGTGTTCCAGAGAGTGGACTTGAATGCTTTTACACATGTTGGGCATTTCTACATAATTACTCTCCATGGTCAGCACTGAAGAAGGTCAGGCTGGTCTGTTTCTTGTCAAAGAGGCACTGCATTACCAGCACAAATCCTTTGCAGAAAGGAAAAAAAAACACTTTCCTCACATATGGTATTGGTGCAAGTGACAACAAATCCCCAATGCGGACATCTCGTTTAACACCACAGTCCGCCACGCCGCACTGCACGACCATGTGGAGCAGCGAGACAAAAGCTTGACTTTTTACGAGTCTGAGGCCAAACTCGGCTCCTTTCTCACATGGGAAGTTACTTGAGCATTTCTCCCTGATGGATAAGCGAACATCTTTTTAACCCTGCTTTCATGGACATTGGATGAAAGAAAGCCCGGCACAAAAGGCGATGACAATACTGTACCCGGGAGACTCACCATGAGCAAACACACAGCCGATTCGGGCATGAGCTGGACAGCCATGATGCAATTCTTCTTCTTGTTAATTTCCTTAACGAGGACACTCTTATGTTCTTCGTTTCAATCGTCTCTCTCTGTCCAGATGAAGGAGCTGGTCTTCACATGCAGTTCTCACCTCCTGCTCCTCCTCCTCCTTCTCCTCTTCCTCCTTCTGTCAGTCAGTGAGTGCCGCAGACAGCCTCCAATTGCACTGCCAGTCTCTGTAGTGTCTGTGGCTCACTGCGACTCTTCACCGGGAAGCGATTCCTCCTCCTCCTCCTCCTCCTCCTCCTCTTTCCAGAACAGGATTTTCTCGCACACACACCTCCGAACTACTTCTTTATACTTTTTAATAACACCTCCCCATTTCCGTACACCTCAATGACCCTTGAGCAACCTCAAAGTCTCCCCTTCTTATTATTACTGTCTGACGTCCGCTTATTTTCCCTTCACCTTACAGCACAAAGCACATCCAGGCATGCACGTGGCTTTCTGATATGAAACTCCGCCTTCTCCTCCTGCTTCCTGCTCCCTCTGTGACGGGAAAGACGGACGCTCACCTTTCCTGACACGAGGACAAAGATGGTGAAAGAGGTCTGCGGTGCAGTGAGGATAAATGATGGTGAAGGCAGAAAGGGAGTGTGAAAGAGAGTTAGAGAGAGAGAGAGAGAGAGAGAGAGAGAGAGAGAGAGAGAGAGAGAGAGAGAGAGAGACAGAGACAGAGAGCGACAGCAAGCAGACTGTCAAAGCAGCGGCTGTAACGCACGCGTTAATGCAAAGAGGTTGACAGTGGTGGGAAGTAACAAAGTACAAATACTGTATTTTTTTGCTGAATGGTAGTAGATTTTCAGCTGTCTTTACTTGACTGGAATATTTGCTTTACAGACAACTTTTTATTGTGTCTCTCTTCAACGGATGCGCCGTGAAATATTTTTCACTCCAGCGGAGTTCACCATCCATTTTGCAGAGTATAATTTTCAGTCACGTCAAAAAGTTTTTTCATCCTTAGTTACCATTAAGCATCCCCACATGGCCGGCATGGCTCATACTACACCTGTCTGGAAAGGCACAGTATATGTCACGCTGGTAAAGTGGTATCGATGTTTTAGTATCAATGCATTTTTTTCCCTGAATGATTACAGTGCAGATGTTCAGTATTAGCACTCATACCAATGTTGCCATCCCTACTCCCTGCATTTGTAAAAACTTGCAACAGCTTATTACTTTTTTCTCACCCTGCTTCTACTTTTACCATTGTATGTTTTTTTTTGTATCTGTTCTTAAATAAAAGTACAGCGTGTGAGTAGAGTGTCCGCAAATACTGAATATATACAAACAATTGACACCAACCCAACAAGGTTTGCGTGTGGATGGAACAAAATGATGATAAATCACTTTTTCTATTAGACAAGGCTACGGCCCGACTGCATAAATGAAGATCCTCCATTCCCTTCAAAATATTTAATTGCCACCCCAAAATTTCACGGCAATATTTTTGAATTTATAATATCTCTGGCCCGAAAACAAAACCGCCAAAATAGTTTAATTTTTCAGCGAACAATGGCGGGTAAGGTCCCCCCTTCACAAATATGTGGGGTTCACTGTACACTTTTGGAATGTGAGTCAAATGTGATGTGGATCCATAGTTGAGGTCGACCATAGTCACCTGTGCGTGATTGAGATCCTCAGACAAGTGCTGCTGGATGTGAATAATTTATGCAACTGTGTCAGCGCTCCTAAACACGCATGAAAGGCACGAGACGGATGTATGGGTTGGGAGGCGGGGTTGGATGACAATTTGATGAACGAGCGTAATCATTCCGGTGATGAGTGCTGTTTTTACGTTTGTCTAAACACGCAACAACATCAAGAAGAAGTGACAGCTTGTTTTTAAAATGTGCACCGCTTGAATAAAACATGAGCGATAATGGTAGCTTCATGCACGACAAACTGAGTCGTTGTTTATGCTCACAAGTGGAGATGATAAACCAATTATCAGATCACTCAGAACCATTTGCACATTTTAATTCAGTCTTTTTAAATCTTTGGGTCAGATTTTAGCATCAGCTTGGAAATACAGTGAACCCCCACAATATCTTCATCCTTGGGATATTTTGACAAAACTATTTTGTTCGTCTGATATCAGTGCCTTGAACAACTTAAACGTCCCACTAAGCAAGTGGAGTGCACCTTCACTAGTAACTGCAATACACAATGTTTTGAAGGTAAGTGTCTTTTCTTATTCCGTTCCGACTTCCCGGTACTTACCTAACCAGTACATAGTCACAGATACTTTGTGGCCATAAATTATTATTTTATGTGCATTATATACAGAGTTCGACATTAACAGTGGCCCCAAAATTTACTGATGCTGGCCTACAAACTCAATAAGAAAATATGATGAAATCAATACGCTGTTTCTTTTTTATGATTTAAGATGAAACACTTTGACCGCTTAAAAGAGTCAATCGTCATTGCCGGTTTTAATGCACAGCGCACACGTTTTGGGTTGAAGAAAAAGACAGATGTTCAATACTCAGTTCGATTTTATAGGAGGAAAAGAATTCTTGGGGAAAAAAAACATGCAGAAAAAAAACCTACCATACACAAAAACAATCTTTTCTTAAAGGCTGAAATAGTAAAGTAAAGACGCAAAATTTTAAATAATCATTGCAACTTATTGTATTATGTCATGAACATGGTTCTTTTACACTTAAAATCTTTAGTAGATCAGTTCAAATAAAACTGTTTTAGATGCTGTACCTAACCTCAACAGGGGATGGTAGCGCTGAGCAAGTGTCCATCTTTGGAGGGCGGATTCTGTAGGCTCTGTGGTGTGGAGTTAGTTGGCACAGTTGTCTTCCAGGCATGCATATTTATTTTTGTTTGTTTTTTTTGTTTGTTTGTTTTGGTTTTTTTTAATCCATTATTTCCGCAGCAAAATAAAGAAACATATTTATATGGTGTAAGTGTCACTCAGTACATTAGCAGCCGACAGAAGGTACGTAGCTCTTACCAAATTCTATCAATCCTTTAAACAGCAGGGTAACTTTATTGTTTATTTTTAACACATATCCACTTCCTATCACCATCTCTGACGCCGTTATGGTTACTACAATACTATAATTAACTGAGGTAGTTTTACTCACCAGAAGTCCAGCTGTTAAAGGAAAACTAATCAAATTAGCATAAATATGTGTCATGATTTTTTTTTTGTTTTTGTTCTTTTGTTGTCAAGGGTGCCTGCATGAAAAAATATTACATGTAATATGTGGTGTTATTAGCCCTTAAACATACATTTCAATGAGTACAGAGGGTCGGTAGGTAGAAGTAAAGGATATCAGATGAGCTTATCATTGTCACTAAATACCAAATCTAATTAACTACTGTAGGCTTGAAGGGCGGAACGGTGGGAGACTACTTAGCACGTCCGCCTCACAGTGCAGAGGTCAAGGGTTCGATTTTACAGCCTTCCTGTGTGGAGTTTGCATGTTCTCCCCGTATCTGCATGGGTTTTCTGCGGGTACTCCGGTTACCTCCCACATTCCAAAAAACATGCATGGCAGGTTAATGGAACACTCTAAATTGTCCTTAGGCGTGAGTGTGAGTTTGTATTGTTGCTTGTCTATGTGTGCCCTGCGATTGACTGGCAATCAGTTCAGGGTGTCACCCGTCAACCATTTTGTCGTGTTAAAATACTGAATTTGCAATTACTTCAAAAAGCATCAGATTTGTGCCACGCTCATCAGCTACAAACATGCCAGACATTGATTGTAATCGATGTTATTATCATCAAAGGAGAACAGAGGGAAAGCGAGAGGAAGAGCGAGAGAGAGAGAGAGAGAGAGAGAGAGAGAGAGAGAGAGAGAGAGAGAGAGAGAGAGAGAGAGAGAGAGACTAAGAGTAAGAGGCTTTTCCGGTTCAATCCCTGGGTAACTGTCACAAGCAGTCAGTCAGTCACCTGCAGATGATGGTGTCGAGGCCACCCGGGGCAACGCAAATGTATCTGCTTGTTTCGTTTTAATGTTCGACTGCATTGTTGACCCTCATAAACAGTGAGGTTAGGACAATAAAAGAGACGTTTTAGATAAATTAGTGAAGAAGTCTGAGAAAAAAAAACAAACAAACAAACAAAACAGTTTTGACAGGAAATTTCTTAAATCAAGTGACAACTCTGCTCTACTGAACAAAATAATCACAAGTCTCAATCGTGCCACTTTCTGCCTCAACTACAATGAGGTCTCGCTTGCAAACATCACTGCGCGATTTGACCTCGGACTCATTCACAGATTTGTCTCCTTGAGCTTGGCATAAACATGCGCATTCACACTGGGCTAATCCCCAGGAGGTTTCAAGTGTCTTCTTGACCGCTCTCTTTCGCACTCTCTCCCTCAGTCCAACCGCCTCGCTCAAGCCTACACACCCACCTCGCTCCATCCCATCCTGTATTAACGTTCCCAATCCTCTTTTGAGGCAGAGTGACGTCCGCTACTGTCAGAAACAGACTTAAGCTCCGCCGGCTCTAGGAGAACAGTGGCAAGAAGCTTGTGTGTTGGAATAACCTCAGGAAGAACCAATCAGCACCGATTTCTGTGGTTGGGCGGGGAGGACCTCAAGGGAGGACAGGTCTCCTGCCGCCTAAGAGTTGACTCCCATGCTCAGCTGCTGCTCATGCCAGGGACCTTACAGGGAAATAAACATGTGCACCTTGATCACAAACAACTTAAAAGACTTCCTGAGAAGTTCAAAGGATGATCTCTGAGAGACTGGAGTACTACTGGGCTGCTGCTGCTTTATTTATTTTTTATACAACCTTACTTGACGCTTGAAGTTAGAAATCATCACTTTTTCATTGAGGTCCTACTGTGATGGCGGCGAAACAGATGACAGGACAGCTTCTGGCCATGTCAGGTGTGTCTGAAAGGTGTTTGTGTGAACATGCACTCCAAGCGCTGGCTATGAACGCGTGCTTCTAATTGCAGAAGGGCGACATTGTTTGGGAGTCGACGATCCTAGAACTGTCGTAGGCCTGGATTTCCTTGAGATGGAGGGTCATAATTATGAACGCTTCGGGGAGGGGGAGAGGGACAAATACCAGATTGACTACAGGAGGATTGTGGGGGACATGGAACCGGCACGCCCTCGCCTGACCAGCAGAGATGGGGAGCAGCCTCACCAGTACGGCACCTACGCCCATTCCACGACGCACAGCCACGGGCACGAGACGGCCGCGCAGCGGTACAGCGCCACACGTATTCAAGCCGGGTATGAACCAGAGAGGTTAGTCTGTTTGTCAGCCTGCACTGACTGACTTGAACATCACTTTGCACTGAGACGTAAAGCAACTCTTTCATCTGGAAGTAGACCTCGACTTCCACTCTGAGACCCAAACATTCACATGTATACACACATAGCCCTAACCAGAATGGTTGAGCATGTGGCCAGCACCACTGCCTCACAGTCAAAGGCTCAAGGTTTGAACCCCGGACTTTTACGTGGAGCTCGTTACAAATTTCTCGGGCTTCCTCCCACATTCCCCCCCAAAAATGTCTGGTAGGTTAACTGAGGACTCCAAATTGCCCATATGTGTCAGTGTGAATCGTTGTTTTTGTGCATTGTGATTGACAGGCAACCAATCCAGGTTGTCCCCCATCTCTCATCCAAAATCAGATGGGATAGACTCCAGATCAGTGATGACTCTAATGAGGATAAGCACTATAGGAAATGAGCGGATGGTATTGCCATGGGCAGCACGGTGACCTAGGGGTTAGCACATCCACCTCACAGTTCTGACGGTGCAAGTAATGCAAGTTTTGAGGCTTGCATTGTTTTTCTGCTGGCTTCCTCCCAGATTCCCCAAAACCGGCATGTCATCTTAACTGAAGACTCCAAATTCTCCATCGTCAACGGGAGTGTAAATGTTTCTGCACATGTTTTTCTGCCAAACAATTATATTGAGGATCCCAACACCTTGGCTTGTTTGCGCTGCAAATTCACAAGTCGGTTTATCACGCACTTAAATCCTCTTACCCTGCTGAGCTTTCTGTCTTAAGTGCGTCGAAGGAGTTTCCATTGACATGAACAGATTCCTTTCATTAGAATATCATGTGAGGATTCGAAGGAGGGTCTGGCGCAAGCATGTGAGCAAGAAAAGGAACTCAAGAGAGACGAGCAAGACTGGAAAGTCACACACCAGTCACTTTATTTTCAACTATTTTTCTCCGGAATATGATACAAACAAAAATAGTGTCGACAAAGTGGAAAAATCGGCATCAATGTGACAGATTTGCTGTGACTGCCTGTAGGCCTGATCTATACAGTTATAGTATGCTGCCTCCTGCACAGAATAAGATGTAGCAAATGGACGAATGGAGACAAAAATGAAAAAATACGACTTGCCTCTCTCCACATTTAGTGTTTTGATTTGCACCCAAATGTAAAGTATCCTGGAATATTTTAATCTACACTGGGGGTGTCAAACACATTTTTGACGTGGCCCACATTTTACTTACCTTTACTTTTCCTTGGAGGGCCGTTATTACTGAAATCACATAAAAAAGTAAATAATAACGGTTAATCAATTATTGTTTACTATTACTGTAATGAGGGGTTTGGGAACAAGAAAATGCTTCATTTATGTCTCGTATTTACTACATATGACAATTTTCAATTTTAGTTGAGATTTTAGCAAGCATCATGGAAGTTGACATGTTTGATTTGCTTTCACGGGCCACATAAAATGACGTAGCTGGCCAGATCTGGCCGCCCGGGCCTTGAGTTCGACACCTGTGATCTACACAATCAATTGCTTTTGCGCTTACACACTGGGCGGTGGTCACACAAAATATGCAATTAACCACTCACACTTACAAAATAGGCTATAAATACTTTCTCAAGTCACATATTTTCATGCAATTTACTTACCCAGCACAGAAAGTCACATTTTAAGGGAAGGCTAAACTACTAATAAAATTGCATACAGTACCATTTGGAGGTAAATGATATTTGCTGAGGTAAATTTCTTTCGAGGGAGATGAAACGTGAGTGGGAAATTTTAATAGGCAAGCTGATTTAAAAATCGACATAGTGAAAATTCACTCATAGTGAACATGATAATGAGGTGCTGGCTTTATTAAACTTTCTGTTGCTTGGATTAATGGCACGGACATGCTTTCCATGTTGAAATGGATAACAGGCTAGCTATTATGTTTTGCTAAATTAGAAAAGAAGAAGAAAAGTTAACCTCTTGGAGCAACACCCAAGACAGAAATTTTTTTTTGTCATTATTTCAGTTCATTTCAGTGGTAGTTGGATACTTTTCTGCTCCAAGGAAGTAACCTCTTGCCTTTTGTTCACAAATGTCATAAAAAAAGGTCTGTTTTACGAATTCTGAGCATGTGTGTGTTTCTGACTTCAGCATGGCCGACTACTTGATCAGCGGAGGCACAGGCTACGTTCCCGAGGATGGCCTGACGGCACAACAGCTCTTTGCAATCGGTGACGGGCTGACGTACAAGTAAGGGATGCCAACAACGCAGCCGTGCGCACAACCTACATTTCCCCAGCTGACACAGAAAGTGCAAGCGAAGTGCACAGAGTTATGCGTTGTCTTCCATTAACTGTGTATAATCTTGTCAGCGATAACATATCTGCACGGGTTTTATATGGAGGATTATTTTGAGTCGCATACTTTCAAGGATGACTGAGTGCTGAGTGGATGTTAAAAGCATGCATGTGTGCGCGCGTGAGATAATGGTGTCACTCGTTTCCTTTACGGGTGTTTGCTGGGTTTATCACTGTCAGGCGGATACATTCAGAACAGAATATATCCATTTGGATTGGAAGATTAATGTTTTAAATAAAGGAGAATTTATATGGAAACGGAATCTTACCCTTGCTGGACTTAAATGAGACTTTTCACAGTTTAATCAGTTCCTAGGTGTCTTGATAAAAAGTCTCGGTTTATTCTGTGAAAAAAAAAAACCCACACACCCACGAGTTAATTTTATTTAATGTATCTGGAGCCAATTCAAAAAAGACTCTCGACACCACACACAGAGCAGGTCAAGAACTATGCTCATGCGTTATAAATAAAGAAAAACAAATGAGCAAGCACTTGGTATATATTTGAAAAACTGCGGCTGTGAATGGCTCGTTGACAGGCAAAAATAGGCAAACCACAGAAGATTTACTCCATTTTTTTTAAATATAATATCACGTTTAAAAATGAGGAATACACTCCAGACCAGGGGTGTCAAACTCATTTTTGTCACTGGCCACTTTGGAGTTACGTCTTCCCTCTCAGGCTGGTTATGACAGTGAAAGCACAAAAATCTTTAGTAGTTTGTTCAATTATTGCTCAAGTGAGTGCAAATACGGTAACAAAATTATTACAGGATCTCAATGGCATTTATTACACATGATTATTTGACATTTCAGTACAGATTTTAGCAAGAACCATGCAAGTTGACAGACATGACTTGCTTTCGCAGTGCACATAAAATGACATGGCGGGCCGGATCTGTCCCCCCGGCCTTGAGTTTGACACCTGTGCTCAAGACACACAACAGTTTGTTTTCAGTAAAGCCCTTTTCCCATGTTGCATTGTTTTACACACTTGATGCATCATTCAAATTCGATGCTTATAGACTTTGTCTCCCTTCTCAGTGACTTCTTGATTCTGCCTGGTTTCATCGATTTTACTTCCGAGGAGGTGGTGAGTATCCACAACCACGGACCATGGTTCATTTTGTGAAAAGTTGACCATTAGCAGTCTCACCACACACAATCTGCATCGGCACTATCGCTTGCTTATGAGCCTCTCCTTGTTTTCACCTTTGCCAACTCTGTTGGGAATTTACATTGTTTTCATGTGCGGGGTCACATGAGTTGTTTGTCTGAGAGCAGGTGCTTGCTACAATCACACACCTGTGTCACCCCACCTCAGGCAAATGACTTTGCTCTCTAATGGTCTGGGGTTTTAAACAATAAAACACATTTGATTCACAAATGTGTTGCAGATGCACCTCTGCGATGTGGTCTGTGCATGGGCTTGTTGCAAATTGCTCGGCATCAATTCACACACTTTTGTGACAATACAATCATTTTCGTGTGACAACCTCATACGGTATTGCATCACTTGCGTTGCATTTTTTTATAGGACCTAACCTCTGCATTAACACGGAAGATCACACTGAAGACGCCTCTCATTTCGTCTCCCATGGATACAGTCACAGAGTCATCCATGGCCATTGCTATGGCAGTGAGTGCAGCCTGGTGCTCATGTGGCATGTTTTTTTTTTTTCATCCGGTTTATTGTCTGATTTCCTCTAACTAAAAATAGTATCTGCTGTCTCTATTTGGCCGGTTTCAGTTGATGGGTGGGATTGGAATCATTCATCATAACTGTACGGCTGAGTTCCAGGCCAATGAGGTGCGCAAAGTCAAGGTAAGATATGAAGCCATGAATTGATGCTGCAACCCAAAATGATAATTTCAGGATGTTATCACACATTTTCCCTGTTGATAAGCAGTACATAAGTTTTCCCCCAAAAATTAAAAATGTAACTGACTGGAATGAACCTAACCGGTTCAGGGTGTCCCCTGCCTACTGCCCGAAGACAGCTGGGACAGGCTCTGGCGCCCCCCGTGATTCTTGTGAGGATAGAGCGGTTCAGAAAATGGATGGATGGATGGATGGATGAAAATTAACATGGCCTTGATCCTTTTAGCACGTCCAAACCTCGAGGGTTCTTTCATACTACACAGTACATTTCATAGAGCACATTTTCCTCTAAAAAGTCAATGTTTGGTTCAAGTCTAAATAGTCTCAAGTAAATTTTACAAGGAGAGTTTTTGAGTAACTTTTACTTGCATAACATTAGTTTATTTAAAAAAAAACTCACTCAAGGGATGAGGAATGAACCCACAATATCAAGGTTAGGAGACGACCATGCTACCCATTGAGCCATGACACTCCTACTGTGATCTAGAAAAACGTTTCTAGTTTTTTTCAAGTAAATATCACTCCAATTTTTTGTTGTTCTGTGTAAAATTTACTCTGAATACCGGTAGTTTAAATTTTACTCCATTAAGACTAGGACCAAATATAGTCTTTTTAGAGCAAAATCTACTTTATGAAATGTATTGTGTCGCACCCAGTCTGTTTAAAATTCTAGTGAGTTTTCTGCATTGGTGTGGTTAGTTTGGTCTCGTGTGAACACCACCTTTTCTCCATGTGTTAAGATGTATTTGAGTTCTTTTGGGCTTGTTATTGTATGAAACGAAAGAAAATCGGGGAGAAATAGAGCAATGAACTGATTTGAACCTGAAAAAGTGAAATATACGTGTGGAATGAGATTGAATAATAAGCCTGAAAATGCTTCAAACAAACTCAAACCCTATTGGAACGACAGGTTTTATTCAAGTCCTTGTATGGTACACTTAACCTATGAAATGTGAACACAAAGTGCTCAAGATTTGACACTTGGTATTGCCACTAGTGTCGCTAAGGCCCCAAAGAAGGAACTGGATCCTTTTGGAGGGCAAGTACGAACGCTAACCCGATGGAATCGACTTTCAATACGAATGCAAAGAAGACAGAGTCCCTTTTCTGCTTGTTCACTTTTCTATTTTGGTTTTGTCTGGACCAAATCTTCTCTTTTATAAACCATTTCGCAAGACGGAAAAGAAGGGTGCGAATGTGAAAGCGTTTTTAAAAAGTGACTCTGTGAAGCCACGCTTAAAACCAACTGATGCTTTGCGCTGGCATATTTTGTTCTTGTCAGAAATTTGAGCAGGGCTTCATCACGGACCCCGTAGTAATGAGCCCCCGACACACGGTAGGCGACGTGTTCGAGGCCAAGATCCGCCACGGTTTCTCTGGGATCCCTGTTACAGAGACCGGCAAGATGGGAAGCAAGCTGGTCGGCATCGTGACCTCTAGAGACATTGACTTCCTGTCTGAGAAGGACCACGACAGACCCCTAGAGGAGGCATTTATTCCTTTTATTATATTGAGATCATAGAAATGTTAAATATGTGACATTTAGATTCAGCCTGACCTATTTTTATAGGCAATGACAAAAAGGGAGGATCTAGTTGTCGCACCGGCTGGTGTCACACTAAAGGAGGCCAATGACATTCTTCAACGGAGCAAAAAAGGTAAAGAAAAATAATGTCATCAATGCTTGAACCCCAAAACACACATCTTTTGTGACATCTTTAGGTAAGCTTCCAATTGTCAACGACAGTGACGAGCTGGTGGCCATCATCGCCAGGACTGACTTGAAGAAGAATAGAGACTACCCTCTGGCCTCCAAGGACTCCCGCAAGCAGCTGCTCTGCGGGGCAGCGATCGGTACCAGGGACGATGACAAGTACAGACTGGACCTCCTCATGCAGGCGGGGGTGGATGTGGTGGTCCTGGTGAGTTTCCACAGCACCATGATCAAACTCAAGTTTGTACGGCAAATAACAAGCAGTACATAAGAAATTCTCTTCAACCAGCGTTTCTCAATTTTTTTTTTCAGGTTATTGGCGACACTCGGGAACTGTTTTAATTGTTTTTCCTTTAAAATATTACAAAGTTCACTTGAACCACTTGATGTTTCTCAGAGACAACACTTTGACAAACGCGACTTTAACCCTTTAAGGGACAGCGGTAATTACAGTGGACAGCTTATCGTGTTAGCGGGTTAGAGGTTTTCATTATTGATCCATGAAAGGCCTAAACCTGACTCACCCTACCATTTTTTTCTTACTAGGACTCCTCCCAGGGTAACTCAGTTTACCAAATCAACATGATCAACTACATCAAGCAGAAGTATTCCGAACTCCAGGTGGTTGGAGGAAATGGTGAGCTTTTTTTTAAACTGTGAGATCTTCCATTACAGAGCGTTGTCATCACTTCTTTGCATGGTTGTCTCTTTTTAGTGGTAACAGCTGCTCAGGCTAAAAACCTCATTGATGCCGGTGTGGATGCCCTCAGGGTGGGCATGGGCTGCGGCTCCATCTGTATCACCCAGGAAGGTAAATGATGTGTGTGTAATGCGTTCATGAGCAAACATTCACTCGTTTGCCGTTGTGTTCCTGCAATGACAAAAGTGGGGTTGGCTGAGTCATTCACAATTAAGACAAAAGTCAAAGGTTGCTTTTGTAGGCTGATAACATCATAATGCTATTCCAAATAGAAAACTTTTATAAATGCAGCCCACAATTTGGGCCTTCAGGTGGCTGTTTTTGGAGGATACACACTGTCGCTACTTCACACACATATTCCAAGATTCGTTATGCCTTGCTTCTCAAGCCTAAAAAATAATTGTAAATAATGGAACCATTTTATTCGTCTTGGGTTAAAACAGAGAGGATCAAGAAAAAGAGGTTGGATTGTATCACCGGGAGTTTAAATGTTCAGAGTAGCATTGTACAGAGGTGTTTGCTCAAGTGGACACAGACAGGGTGTCCGTTTGGACAGATTTTTTTCAACATAGAAAAATATTAATCAGCAAAGCATCAACAGCATGCATCCAACATGTACACAACCATAAACCCATGTTACATAAATGACTGTATTCAGTAGTTCAGTTATTCAGTATAAACAAATCACCTTATCATGGGGCTCAGCAATAGTATGGGCTAGCATACTAATTTGAATAACAGCCTAGTACAAAGTGAATTGACGACACATATTGCCACACAAAGCACTTAACACATGTGGTTGATTTCATTAAACTCACCCTTTATCGTCCACACTTGATTAAGAAACTTGCTGCACCTCACACGAGATGTGTTCACAGACCACTAACAAAATAAAATGAAATGGGAGGGCGGGGTGGTGGGGGGGGGACACTTTCATTTGAATGTTTTGGGTTTTTCACTCATTTAAAAATCCACCATCAGAGACGACAGACTTTAATGGCAGGGCATGTTTTTGAAACATTGATTGCTATTTTATTTTTGGCCTCACAGTGATGGCATGCGGGCGGCCCCAAGGCACATCTGTGTACAAGGTTGCAGAATACGCCCGCCGTTTTGGTGTGCCTGTAATTGCTGACGGGGGCATTCAGACCGTCGGGCATGTGGTCAAAGCACTGGCTCTGGGAGCATCGACGGGTGAGACATAAAATTCATCCATCCAGCCATTATCTGATCCGCTGATCCTCACGAGTGTTGCGGGCATATTGGAGCCTATCCCAGCTGTCTTCAGGTAGTAGACCCCTGAACTGTTTGCCAGCCAATCACAGGGCGTACATTGACATAGAACCATTCGTGCTCACAATCACATCTCGGGACAATTTAGAGTGGTCAATTAAACTATGGTGCATGTTTTTGGAATGCGGGAGGAAACCAGAGTATTTGGAGAAAACCTACGTGGGCACGGGGAGTACATGCAAACTACACACAGGCCGGAATTGAATCCATGACCTCTGCATTGTGAGGTGAGGTGGACCTGCTGACCAGTTGACCACCCACCGTGCCGCCGACATGAAATTACATTTTCCATTTTCAGTTGTTTTCATAAAGGTGCTGGAGCCTTTCCCCAACTGGGGTACATCCTAAACTGGTCGCTAGGTACAATTACTAGCCATTTAATTAGGTACACCTGCACAATGTAAAATGGACCCGAACAAGAATTCTACCTTTATTAAGGCGGCAATGCTGTTTTGATCGAGACTGTAAGAGAGTGTTTAATTTAACGGGTTGTTTGTAAATCTGGTTGTAATTTGCAGGGGTGTGTAAATGTCACTATATGCAGGGTTGTTGTTTTGACTATTTTTGTTACTGCTGTTTTCTGTGCTCAGTGATGATGGGCTCACTGCTCGCGGCGACCACCGAGGCTCCGGGAGAATATTTCTTTTCTGATGGGGTACGTTTGAAAAAGTACAGAGGAATGGGCTCCTTGGATGCCATGGAGAAAAACAATAGTCAGAAACGCTACTTTAGGTAAGCAAAGGTGGTCCAGTGGCTACCTTTTGTTTTCTTGCTTCCCAACATTGTCGCTTGATGCTATTAATTTACATGTATTGCTTCATTTTTTTTTTTTTGCGTGTGTCCAGTGAGGGAGACAAGGTGAAAGTGGCTCAAGGTGTATCGGGCTCAGTCCAAGACAAAGGCTCCATCCAGAAATTTGTGCCGTACCTCATTGCAGGCATTCAACATGGTTGCCAGGATATCGGAGCTAAGAGCTTGTCCATTTTACGGTAAGAAAATGTTAAAAAAAGGACCAATTGCTTCTTCAAAATTACTAGGAAATCACAATGCCCCGTCACTGGTGAGCTCTATTTAGAACAGGCATGCGGTCTATTTTTTTTCTTTGGGGGCTACCTGGTGCCTGTGGTTATCGTGTTGCTTTGAAACTTGGTGTAGGGGTGGTTATTATGAAAATTAGCTCCACTGTTAGGTCACAGTGGGGTTGAAATGCAAAACGGCTTGCTCACAGACAGAAATGGGTGGATAAGATTTATTTGGTTATTTAACGTCACACTTGATGCGTGGGCATCCAGACACTCCGGAGATCCAACAATTTTGTAAGCAAGCACTTAAAAGTCCATTTTAAATTTCACATCCCCCTTAAATGTCAGGATCGGAAACAAAGAGAAACATTACCATCTGCCGGATGAAGTTAGGTACTGCCTCCCACCCTCCCTCCCTCTGATGCAGAGTTGTTTCCATCTCAGGTCAATGATGTATTCCGGAGAATTGAAATTTGAGAAGAGAACAATGTCTGCTCAAATGGAGGGCGGAGTCCATGGCCTTCACTCGTAAGTATTTTTAGAAACTTTTGACCTCAAAATTTTCCTTTTCTATTGCGTGATTTGTGGTCCAATTTGAATCGTGATCTGTCTGTGACGTTATGGCAGACCCCAGCTAATCCTCCCTTGTTTTGAGCTCATCTTATTCAGTCCTATCGTTGGATGCAATGGCCGCGAAACATCATACTGTCTTCTCTCTTCCTCTTCTCGCTCATGCTGTCATATTAGATATTCTTTTGTACCATGTAAGTACACCCATGCAGCTTTTTCTCCATCTTCTTGCACAATCCATCGCCTGTTTCTCACTGGTCTACTTACCAATACAGCACACAGTGTTTCCCAACATTTTTTGAGCCAAGGGATGTATTTTCTCCCAGCACACCACCAAACAAGAATTAAGTTTTTATATATTCAGGATCGTGTTTTGTTCTGGCCAAGGCTTCGTCATCCAAATATAAAAAGTATTACTTTGGCGCCATCTGATGGCGCTTTGGTGTCAAGCACCTACAGTATGTTGAAGTGAGGGGAAAGTCAATTTATTTTCCAGCCACAGCTTTGTCTCATACAAAAAAAAAGTTGTTTGACGCCATATTGTGCCATCTATCGGTAATAGCAAACCTTTTAGTGCTGAAAGCAACAAGCATAGGTAGTCATCTTAAATGAACTTTTTTGTGAAACACAAAGCAATTCAAGCAACAGGTGGCTACACAGACGAATTGTAACTTCTGCCATCTAGTGGAAGACCATTGATTTATCCTGGCTGTCTCTTTCGATCGCTGGCTTAAGTAGATGAACAAAGAAACACTATTTGTTATGTAGGAATTATGATTTTTATGTCCAATTAAGTGAAATGGGATCATTTTCCATGGCACAGTAGTTGGGAATCACTAGTGTGACATACAGTGAAATGATGTCTTCACCATAGAGGAAAATTTCCATTTTTACCCATTTTTCATCACTTGCAGTTATGAGAAACGACTTTACTGAGGCCGGAGGAAAGGGAAACTCCCGTTCGGGACCGGATGTTCCCGCCCCAGCCCTGCTGAACAGACGAACGTCGCACACATGAACAGGCCACCAAAGTCTCTCCTTCATGTTTCATAATAACTGTCTTCTGGACGTCATGCACCGCTTTGTTTCTCTCATGAACTTTTCTGGATGATTTTTTTTAAAGAACAAACAGACGTTGGCGAAATAGTTTTGCGACCTGATTTCTTCCTTGCCATGTTCGGTCGGGGTCTCACATTTTGAAAAATTGCGATGTGTGTCCCACTGCACGAAGCTTTGACATACTCTTCTGTCAAAACATGCGGTACACCTGTAGCAGGGGTGGGCAAGTTGTGGCCCGGCGGGCACATCGGGCCTGCTCTGTTTTGTTCAATGCAGCCCACCAAGCATTTACATTATTGTGAGTTCTGTAAATGTGTTGCTTGAATTTAGTTGTTTTTTTTCCCCCCCAAGGATTGGTTTGTTAAAATGTATTTATGAATGCTTCATTCAGTCATCTTATTCAATAGTTGAAATAATATAAATAAATACAAATAATCAGTCAAATTAAAACTATTTTATAGATGATTGCACAGATTTCATTTTTTTCAGTGACAGAAGCCGCATGCAAAACTACTATTCCGTTAGTTGCCAAGACGACGTCTTCATCTTCTTCTATTTCTTGCATTTCTTCCTTTAGGCATTTGACAAGTACTTTTGGTGCATTGCCGCCACCTTCTTTACTATGTGAATGCTGCATGTAAATGTAGTCATGGAGGAAGTAGTCATGGAAACTAATGTGTGACGAATTGCTTCTGTACCATCTGCCACAACAAATATTTGCTATTTACGGCACCAAAAGGCTAATTAACCGACCAGGATTCTACCTTTGGCCAAAATGTGATGCAGGACTCTTGATAAGGTAAGACATTTTTTTACACTTAAAAGTAAAACTTTTTCATAATTAGAGACAGAAGCTTCGTGCAACCAGAATTCGTTTGTTGTCATCCACACGATTAGGGAACGGGGATTTGGGGTGCCAGTTCGAGCTCTAATTTCAATATATTCAAGTTGCATCTGAGTATAAATCGCAGGAAAAGCCAAACTATGAAAAACAGTGCCACTTATATTATGAAAAATACAATCAAATCAAAATTGCGCAACCCTGGTATACACAATCCACTGCGATCAAGAACTGTATCGATAAAATCTATACTGTATGGCAATAAATGTTAAATGATAATAATGCTATTATTTTCATATTAATTTAACAATCTGCTTATTATCACAATTTGCAGTGGCGCAAAAATGCACTGCATAATAAAGAGAGGGGACTTTGGATCGTATGGATGTACCTAATAAAGTGTCAACAGAGAGTGTGTTCCCCAGAAACTCAGGCACATAAAAAGGAATAACAATTTGTACACTGAAAATGTAACTTTCTTTTTAATCATGAAAGTAAGACACCACAAACGTAATTTTATTGAAAAAAAGTCTTTTATTTGCTCATTATTGGAGAAAAATGAACATTGTACATTCCTCAATGAGCATCACACTTGCACTGTAATTCAGGGTCTTTTCTTTCAACGGTAGTATGTAACTTCTCTCAGGATGATCTGGTGTACTCTATATAAAATGGGCTGCCTATTACAACAGAGAGAACAAAAGAGCAAACTTGTACAAATGTGTAATCATGTGTATTTGCTGCTTGTGCTGTAAAAGGGACTGTTTTTGTGTGTGTGTGTGTGTGTGTGTGTGTGTGTGTGTGTGTGTGTGTGTGTGTGTGTGTGCGCATGTGTGTGTAAGACTGCTGAAATGTGCACATTTTTTTCTTGAATAAATAGAGGACACTGACTGACAAAAAGCTCTTGTTCTGATACTTGATTTTCTTTGACACTGTCAGAGGCGATAATTTAAAAATAATTTAAATATTGTTCGTGTAATCATGCATTTCATTATATGAAAAGCAGTTTTTTATATTTTGCTTATTTTATGGATAAAAATGAGGTCAATATGATTTACACATTTCTCTGACAGAGTTAATCAAAACTGAGAATTGCTACCATGAAGGAGACAATTGTTGCTCTTGTATTTAATTACAGTAGATTACAGAAGTGCACCTAATTTTATGTCCAATGAATGTTACCACGATGAAAAAAAAATGTAACTAAATTCTAAAAAGCAACCTGTCAGCATAAGACAAGACTATAGCTGTAGCGTTGCCCTTTTCCTGCAGTGATTAGCATGATTAAATTACCTCCAGAAATCTTCTCTTTACTATATTAAATATGTACAATAGAATTTCAGAATGCATGGAAAATAAATTAAGATTTTTATACTTAAAAAAAAAAAACCTACACAAATGCACCAAATAAACTCATCATGTAGTCTTATGAAACACGAAAGGAAAAATGAATTTCAGGGCCAGAAATTGCATTTTAATAATAGTAATAATAATGTTATTAACAACAACAATAATAATAATAATAATAATAATAATAATAAAATATACACTCCTAATATACATATGAAAAAAATGTTGATTGTGTATGGTGTATTCCACTTTCTTCAGATGGTTAATGTTAAGGATTGCTTTAATCCACAATCATCAACTTTATAACAAATACAATAAAATATTTCTCTACGTGTGTTTATTTAGATGTAGCTGTACCTTCCTAATTTCCGCATTATTTGCTCTGGATATTTCTCTGTTAAACAAGTCTATTTTTTTTTTTTTTTACATTTATCTATATAATTTCAACACATTACGCGTGATTCAAATCGCATACAGAGACTTCACTAACTGTCTACAGTTCGATGGTGTCACTGCAAATGCTCATCGCGTCAATTTGCTTGCATACGTTGACGAACTCCGCTTGCACAGCCAGATCCCATTCCAGCTGCTTGCTCTCGCTCAAGTGTTTACTTCCCGTCAGTCGTCCGGATACTTGGCCATCCTTGGAAGCGACGCTCAAGCTACGGTAACGTCTGTAGTATGACAAGTGCGGGATGGCACGTGGGAGGCTGTTCTGTGCCATGATTTGCCCTCTGTTTGCCCAAGAATTGGAGCGGAGCTTTCTTGTCTCCTTGGCTTTGCTACACAGGCCCAGAGTTGAACCAGACATGCTTCCTTTCCAATCAGACTGCTCAGATGACACGGGTGCTTTGTTGTGGGATTTCAGTATGCCGTGAAGCTGGGAAGGTTTGGAATTGTTCTCTTGATCCAGGTCTCCACAGGAAGAGGTTCGATAAAGAGAACTTTCCACAGAGGCAGGCCCTTGTTTTGATGTGCCTTGTTTGGGAGAGCCCAGGGAATGGCTGGAGGAACTAGGGAAAAGTCTCGGCATGCCGAATATGCTGTGAGCGAATAGGGATTCACTAAAGAGAGCCTGGTCGATGCTGCGGGAAAGGTCTATTGGAGATGGAGGCTGTAGGTCCACAGTGGAGTCGGCCCGTAAACTCAGGGAGGAGAGCTGGAAGTCTTCATATTTAGGCTTGTGCGCTGGGCTTGCGGGTGTCGGTAGTAAAGCAGTCTGAGATTGGTTTGGCAAAGAGGTACAGGCAAGCCCATTTGCAGGAGTATCCAACATCAAGCCAAGAGGAAGAACCTCCGACGGTCCCTTTGTTGTGACACCACACTCTACCATCTTTTGTGGTTTCTCTTGCGACCAGGAAATTACGTGTGTATTTGCATGGCCCAGAGAGGGTAGGGTGATCCCACGCGAGGGTGAGCTGCAGGACAGTCGAGACCAAGACCCTGGCCTGGGATGAGCCTTGAAAGACTTGTGACAGAACAGAGGATGCGTGCCAATGAGAGACAAACCAAGGCAAACTCCGGTTTCACACAGCCGGCATCCGATATGATATCCCCACCAAGGCCAGGGCAGGAAGCCGTAGCTTTCAACTCCGCCGAAACCAAGAGCGTGTAAAATTCCATAGAGCTGCAGGCCACCGCATCCTAGCAAACACAAAGAAGCCCCGACTCCGGCACCTGCTGCCCGACCCCAGTCTTCCACTTTTGCAAAAGGGCAACTCGCGGGGTGCATCATCTCAGGAGATACGCCGTACTCCCCGTTGTCATCCAGCCGGTAAATGTGTTTGGTGTCCACGTGTATCACACAGTAAAAGATGGCATAGGAGCTTGAGAGAAAAAGTGTCAAGCACACAAAGACCCCCTGAGGCACCAGGAGAATGATAGTGGGAATGCTGTGAAAGAGCTGCAGAATGCCAATGCAGCCAAGAGAAACACCAAAATGCACCAAGGATAAAGAGAGCAGGAGGCAAGGTTTGGGGAGGGCGGACAGCGAAGGAGAGATGGCGAGTGAAAGCGAAAGACGCTTACGAGAGCGCAGAGAAAGAAGGAAGAAGGCCAGGGAGAAGGCGGATATCAGACAAGGGAAGGGAAGCTGGGAGAGCAGCAGAGAACTCAGAGGAGGAAGGCGGTCTTGATGTTTGTAAGCGTCATAGAGCAAGCAGAAAGCCTGAATTCCGGTGAAACCGACGAGAAATAAGTGCAGCAGGGCGAAGTAGGGGCTTCCAGATGGACAGCGGAAGGGGAGGCCCAACAAGCAGACCACTGAGATCAGGCTGAACACTGTAAAGACGGAACCAAGACCGTAGATGTGGGCTTCCCAGGCAAATCCCCATGTGGCGAGGGCAGTGTTCCAGTCCGAGTACAGAGGAACAAAAAGGGCAGGACTATGATCCAGAGAGGGACCCAGGGAGTCACTGGGTGGAAATTCATCCTGGTACATGGGAGTCGAGGTTGGGATTGTTGTCTCACAGGGTGTGACTGATGTCTGGAGAGGACCACTGGTCTTGGGCAGTTGCCGGTCATCATCTGTCGAACGAAAAGACAAGAACATGTGAGTTCAAGATGAGCTCTTGAACCTGTTTTTGTACTGAAAGAAACGGCTATCTTTCCAGTGTCTGGTCAGGGGGGTGGGCGGAGCCTTTGGTGCACACCTGTTCGTTTCGGCTTTATCATTGGTTAGGTTCACAAGCGCAAGATTGAAAGGAGCTAGTTGTCGGAATATTGTCGACTTTGGAGTCTAATTTTGTAGCCTCACTTGTGG